AGCATCTTATTTTTTTTAAAGATGTATTTATTTATTTTGGAGAGAAAGAGAGAGCACAGTTGGGGGAGGAGCAGAGGGTAAGGGAGAGAAAGAATCTCAAGCAGACTCCCCACTGAGTGTGGAGTCCAATGCGGGGCTCAATCCCACCACCCTGAAATTATGACCTAAGTCAAAATCACAAGTTGGACGCTTAACTGACTGAACCACCCAGGTACTCCTTATTCAGCATTTTAAAGAAATGAGTGATCAAGGAAAAAAAAAAAGGAGGAACCTACCATGCATATTAGTAAGTAAAAAAAGTCAATTTGAAAAGGCTATATACTGTATGATTCCAACTATATGACATTCTGGAAAAGGCAAAAGCATGGAGACAGTAAAAGAATAAGTGATTTTCAGGGATTAGGGAAGAGGGAGAGATGAATAAGCAAAACAGGATTTTTAGCACGGTGAAATTATTCTGTGTGACACTACAATGGTGGATACGTATCATTATACATTTGCTAAAACCCATAGAATGAACAACACCAGGAGTGAACCCTAATATAAATTATGGACTTTGGATGATAGTGATGTGTCAATGCAGGTTCATTGACTTTAATAAGCGTACCACTGTGGGTGTGGAAAGCTGTGCTTGCGGGGGCAGAAGATTAATGGGAATTCCCTGTACTTTCTTCTCCATTTTGTTATGAATTTAAAACTGCTCTAAAAAAGTAAAGTCTATTAAAAAAAAAACTACTATGTGAGCTTAAATAATTCACTTACCTTCTCTGGTCTGTTTGTACACATCTAAAAGATCAGATTTCCAACCCTCTGATTCAATCATATATGTGACCTGCAAATTCATCCATGAAAAAAAATTAAATGGCAGGCTAGGTCAATCTAATGGAAATTTTAAACAACATAAAGTCAACATGTGTTCAATATTAGAATAGCATTGATATTTCTTCTAGATTACAAAGATAATGATTTTGATGTAATAAATATTTTTATATATTTGTATATTTTACAAGTTTACAAAATCAATGGCATTCTTTCCTATCAATAACCCTGCCAGTAAATCAGAACAGGAACTCTTTTTATTTTTTGCTGATTTTCAAAAATGTTGGCGGCAGAATGAATGAGGAAAGGGCAATACCAGAATAACCTGATCTTTTGGAAGAGAGTGTCTTTTGAAGAATATGCGTACCAGGCCCTCCAATTTTCCAAGGATGAGCAAAGCCTTGTGAACTCTGAGAAGAGCTCCAGTGATCGTGCTCATATAAGCACCTCCCACATATCCGTTTCTATTTGAGAACTGCTATTTTAGGCCATTGCCCAAACCCAGAGATTAACTTGTAGGGAAGTGCCTCTCAACTCTATTCCCATAGATTTTTAAAATTCTCTTTTTGAACATACCAGTTTTGCTCTTATAGAGTGATTATGGCACTCTCTGTGTGTATGTGTGTGTGTATTATTTCAGCTGCTAATTTACCAGTTCTCTATAGATAGGATCCATGGCTTTTTCATTCTTACATCATAGCACTTAGCAATGCATTTTAAATATTGGCTGCTAAGAGAAGAAATATATAAATGCTGTATTGACTCAAGCATAAGTTCATTAATGGAGTTAAATCTTACCCTACAAGCATCAGAATCTCTACCCTAATTACTCATCTGTTCAATAACTATTTAATAATAGGCAAACATGGTTTGCTAGTACCTAAGCTAAATAGTAGAGATGGAAGGATTAAGGACACTAACCTTACTTCAAGGAGCTCACTAGTGGGGAAAGGGACAAATAAATTAATTCAGAACAATAGGATGGAAGCTATACAAATACAAACAGAGAGTGTGAGAGCAGAGAGGTATAGTCCCTAACCCAGACTAGTGGGCAACAGAGAGAGAATGGGCAAAATAGGGAAGGGGAGGTGGTGCTGAAAAGAGTTTTGGTAAGAATAGACTTTCTTTGATAAGGTAATATATGAGATGAGTTTTAAAGGGCAATTAATATATATGCAAGTAAAAGGAAGGTTAAAAACTTCAGAAAGAGAGAAGAGTGTACAAAGAACAGTGGCATAGCATGGTCTGTCTGAGGAAGTACACATAGTTCAGCATGGCTGAAGCATAAAAAAATAAGGCTGATGTGTTGGTGAAATTAAACTATGATCAGCTTCAAGGGTCCTGCAATGAAGTAGTTTCAATTTATCTTGAAAACCAAGGGAAAGATTTTAAGCAGAGAAATGACATTATTATATTTGCATATTTGAATAATATTGAAATGAAAGGCTGCCCATCATAGATAAACAAATATTTAAATGACTGTGGTAGTAGTTGAAAAGAAATATTGTACACGTGGGATGAAATGGGGGGTTACAATAAAGACAGGGAGATGAGTTTGGAGGTTATAAAAGTAATTTAAGGCTCAAAATGGGAAAGAAGTATGGGACTAGATCTGAGGCAGAGAGACCAGTTAGGGATTATGATATAATATTCCAATAGTAAATAGCAAGAAATCAGAAACAATGGCAGCAGGATTAACAATAAAGGGAAATATGAGCAGTATTAAGGCAACAGGACCAGCAAGACTGATGTTCTCTCGGATATAATGGAAATGACTTCCAGGTTTCTAGCTGGTCACCTGTGGCTACAGAAGTACCAGGGCCAGGTTCAAGGACATTCAACCTCTACAGTCACAAAGGGTCTTGCATACAGAAAGGCTTAATGTTTGGCTTAATATTCTATTGTTAGTGTCTTGAAGTTCTGAATAATTTTGAATAAGGGTCCTTACCTTTTCATCCTCCATTGGCCCCTCACATTATATTGCTGGTTCTGAGGGATACCATTCACCAAGACATGGAATAGATGAGGCAGATGAGTTTTGTTATTATGAAAGAATAAATTGATAAGTACAGCTTGGACCTGTCATTAGTTAGTGGGTTCTCTGCTTAAGACCTTGAGCTAGTCGCTGGAGGTTTTAAAAGCCTTTGCCCCTGCCTTCATGAAAGTTATCTAGGATATGTTCTATGTGTTAAGATTTTCATATGAACTTCTATAGAACAGTCAAGTGAAGACATCTAGTAGACGGCAGAAGAGATCCAACTAGAAACAAAATGTTGAGAATCATCAGTCTAGAGATGATAGCCAAAGTCTTTGAATGGATGAAGTCACCCATGGAGAGGGGACAAAGTGAGGAGAGGGAAGCTGGAATCTGAACTATGGAGATCACCAATAGTAAACTGTAACCAGAATTAACAGGAGAGAATAACCAAAGCAGGGAAGCCCTGCCCCTATGGTTAGTAGTGGTGAGTTTATTTTATTTTATTTTTATTTATTTTTAATTTTTTTCCTTCCACCTCCCCTAGGAGTGGTGATTTTATTTTATTTATTTATTTTGTTTTTGTTTTTGTTTTTTCCCGAGTTGATGTAATTGTGTCTTGTTCTCCTTTACTGCTTACTCCTGACCTCATCTATATGCAGATCTCCCTTTTCTTCTTTCGGTTTCTATTAGATTTTTATAATGTCAATGGAGTGTTTTTTCCCCTTTGAAGCGGAGAACGGCTGCCTTGAATCTTTTCTTTAGAACTTGCATCGACAATAAACTTCAACATGGAGACCCAGAGTTTGGTTTTTCTGTTTCTTCAGAAAGTCTTCCTATCCTAGTGAAACCCACATGTCACTTGGCAGCAGTGGGCATGTGACTGAAATCAGACACTGAAGACACTGCTGGTACCTGCTGAGCATAAATCTCCAGGTGAAGACAGGCAGAGATTTTCACTTCTCCTATTTTGGAGCTTCCCAGTGTCCCACCCACTCCTGGTTCTTTAACCCCCTTCTGCATTCTTCTTTTCCTTCCCCAAGCTCAGGACACATCACTGGGTGCCCCTCTTCTTGGGAGAGACACCTATGTTCTGTGCTTAGTGTAAACAGTCTTGGTCCTCACCTACCCAACTGCCCTGGAGCCCTGTTCATGTGTGTTGGGACAGGCAAGGAGGTCAGCAGAAGCTGCAGGCTGCAACCACCGGCACCCTCGCAGGAACAGGCTTTCTCTGCCCAGCCCTACCTCCACAGATTACAGGCCGTATCTCATACTCCTCAGCAACTTCTCTTTCATGGTTTTAATCATAATGATCTCAAGTAGTTCTCTTTTCTCAAACATCACATTAGACTCTCAGAAAATATGAAGTTAAGAACTAATTACTGGCACTGGAAATCATGAAGGATAGCCACCCATGTAAACAGCTCTATGTGATGTATTCATCCTGAACAGATGGGCTTTGTTAGAACAAAACATCCCTATCATTCAGCCCATCCTTGAACATTCACTGAGAAAGGATGAAAGGAGCACATACTTTGTCGGAAACTTCAGTTCACAGCCCACAAGGTTAAAAGATCACATAAAGAAAATGGATTATTAGACAAACTGCTTAAACAAAACTTTGCTGATACCAAAATAAAAAATAAAAATCACTATCCTTAACAAATGCACATTGAAAGAGTGGAAAATTATTAAGTTCCAAAGAATATTTTCAGCATACAACAAAGAGGGGAAAACTACTGAGTCTTCATAATCCGAGTGTGACACTATAAACGTAGAAGATAAAAAACAAATATGACTCAGGTGTCTATCCTTCCGTCACCCGCCCCTCCTCCATCTTTGTGCTGAGCCCCTTTCTGTCCATTCTCCCTGCTGCTTGCCCAGGTCTCTGTCCTTCACCTTCCGAGCGTGCTCCCCTACCGTCACCCCCTCTGCACCCCCACCCCACGTACGCACGGACCCGTCACCCGCTCTGCACCCCCTCCCCCACATGCACACTGACCCATCACCCCCTCCCGCGCCCTCCCCTGCGTGCACCAGGAGGGGTGATTTTAAAGTCAGATTGTCTATGCTGAATCCACCACTTAACAAAAAATATGACTTTAGGCTTTTACTGAAGTTTTACAAGCTTCAGTTTCTTCAACTGAATTATGGGAATAATAGGACCTAAGTCACAGGGCTGTGTGAGGGTTAAATGAGATAATTCATGGAAGAAGACTTGTCACAAGAAAAATCGGTGAGTATTAACTACTATTTTTTTCTTATTATTTTTAAGTACAATCAAACCAGAAGGAACAGATGTCCTAGCAAATGTCAAGAAGAGAAGAGAGTTAAAAAAAGGGGGGGGGCGGGGAAGAGAAGAAGAAAAGGCATAATGCCAGATTTCTGCATGGTTCATCAGAGAGGAATGAAAAGTCCCATTGAATTTACAAACAAAGAAGGGATTAATGAACTGTGCAGGAATAGTCCCAGGGTACCAGCACTGTTTGGGTTGATTGTTTGTGACAAGTCAGATGAACTTTATCAGTTTGAAACTGAGACTAAGTATATCTGAAACTGCCACCATGAAACATATAAATGATACCTTGGGGAGTCTGGGTGGCTCAGTCGGTTAAACCTCCGACTATTGATTTCAGCTCAGGTCATGATCTCAGGGTCGTGAGATTGAGCCCCACATCAAACTCATGCTCAGCACAGAGTCTGTTTGTCCCTCTCCCTCTGAACCTCCCCCTGCTCGTGGTCTCTCTCGCACTTAAATAAATAAATAAATAAATAAATAAATAAATAAAATCTTCAAAAAAATAAACATATAAATGATATCTTAAAAATTTCAATTGTGAATGTTTTCCTTTTCTGAATACCCCTCGTTCCATTTCCAAAAGGCCCTAATACCCAGAAAGACAAAGAACCCTTGTTGCACACTGATACTACTATAATTGGTGGGAAAGCTAATTATAGAACCAAGGCTCTGAAATTCCAAACCTTTCTCTTAGGAGAGGAAGTTCCTGTGCACAATTACGTTTCACCGACTTCCTCTTAGTAAATAAGAAAGATGCCAGGCAGAGCTTCATGGAGTGTGTGGCCACTATGTTCCTTAGGGCAGGGTAAGTCTCTGGGGTGGGACCAGTACAAACTTGTACCTGGCATCAAGAATCTGGTTCTAAAAATATGGGGTCCACCATGAGACTCTGAGAGATGACTCATTTAACAAACACTTCTTGAGCACCAGACACTGGACACATGCTGCTAAAGGAAGATGCAAAGTTGGGTATGAATTCTTCAATAAGCTTACAATCTAAACAGAAAAGATGAGATGAATGTGTTAATAACTGTCAAACCAGGAAGAACTTGAATGGGACATGAAAAAGTCCAAAGTGATTGTAGAATTTTGCACAGCTAGAAAGATGATAAGGGGTCAGGCAATGGACATTATTGAATGCCAGATCAATAAAACTTGAACTTTATTTAATTTACAGTGAGGGGCTCTTTATTTTTTTAAGATTTATTTATTTATTTGAGAGAGAGAGAAAGCATGGTGGGAGGGGCAGAGGGAGAGGGAGAGAGAATCTCAGGCAGACTCCACACTGAGTGCAGAGCCCCATGTGGTGCTCGATTTCATAACCCTGACCCTGAGATCAAAACCTGAGCTGAAACCAAGAGTCAGATGTTTAACCGACTGCACCACCCAGGCACCCCACAGTAAGGAGCACTTGAAAGATTTTCAGGTAGGACCTGAGATGTTCACTGACCCACAAGTACCATAAGATCTAAACCTTGGGAGCCAGAAAGTTCAAGACTGAATATTCAGAGTTGGGAATGTGGGCATATAGAATTGATGGCCAAGATCAGATGGAAATACATAAGCATAATGAAGTGGAGAATAGTTGTAATAACACTACAAATATGTACATGTTCAGAGCCAAAATAAAAAAAAAAAAGGAATCAGGGATTGAAATAGAAAAGGGTGTAATCAGAATTTTTATAGGAAAGAAAACCAGAGAAACATATTAAAAAAGGATTTCCAGAATGAGATGAAAAGAGCATGAGAAAAATAGCATTTACTGTTTTCTGATAAGTGCTTCACTTAATGGTTTCTCATTTATTTATCCCAAAATGTCTCTGGGATAAATGTTACTATTTCCTGCAGAAGTGGACAAAGAGGCTCAGAACTTTAAGCCACCTGTTCAAAAGCCTCATAGCAGATAGGTGATAGAAATTCACACTCCTACTCAGCAGGTAGACCCGGCTGAGTTAACAGTGAGAAATTCCGGACTGAGAGGCAGCAAGTCAGACCTCCAGTCCAATTCTTATGTGCACTCCCAGGATGACATTTGATAAGTCATTTTACTGCCATAAATTTCAAGCTTCTCATATGTTTAGTGAGGGTGTACTCTATAATGTACTCTATAATGTACTCTATAGATCATGTACTCTATAATGTTCCTTTTTCGTTCTGATATTTTATGAGTCTATGCTTTTACAGCATTACAGTAAATTCTGGAGAGGGTGCAGAGGGAATGGATGCAAAATAACATGACTAGCATCAACAAAAATAACTGGGACTTCTTTTCATCCAAAAATGAAGGCGAGAACAAGATGATTAAACATATAAAGTTTGAGAAATTGCATTTAGAAGGCATAGGAAACAATACCTTAAGACTGGTTGGATATTGGGTTGAGGGAAAGTAGATAACTGAAAATGGCTCCCAGGTGTTTGATGAACCATAAATCAATTAGGCTGCTTTTGACATACAACTTTTAAAGTTGAACCCTCCATGGGAACTGTCCAAGAATGATCAGAGAACGTCCTGCTTTTAGCATTTTTTAAAAAGATGTTATTTACTTATTTATTTATTTATTTGAGAGTGAGAGAGCATGTGTGATGGGTAGGGGGAGGAGCAGAGGGGGAGGGAGACAGTGGAGGAAAGAATCTCAAGCAGATTTCGCACTGGAACTGGACTTGGGGCTCAATTCCACCACTCTGAGATCAAGACCTGAGCAGAAACCAAGAGTCCCACACTCAGCCCTGAGGCACGCAAGCACACCTTAGCTTTTCTATTTATCTTAGAGAAAGGGAGGAAAGGGAAGTTCTGTTTAGATAAATTAGCTTCCAAATAAATCTGTTTATGGGGGGGCGCACCTGGGTGCTTCAGTTGGTAAGTGTCTGACTTTGGCTCAGGTCATGATCTCTGGGTGTTGGGTGTTGGAATGGAGCCCCAGGTAGGGCTTCCTGCCTGGTGGGGAGTCTGCTGGTCCCTCTCCCTTTCCTTCTGCTCCTCCCCCAACTTGTGTGCATGTGTGCTTTCTCTCTCTCTTTCTCAAATAAATAAATAAAATCTTTAAAAAAAAGCATATCAAATAAATTTGTTTACAACTTTATGACCCAAGTTCAGGGTCCATTCGGCAAAAGGCAGAATCTTCAGAATTTCCATAGTGCAGGTCTATGGCCTGGAACTCATAACTGGGTTATGGGTTCCATAGTTAAGTGAATTCAAACCGTGATAGCACTTTTAACAGACAGCCTGGTATCCTGATCTGGTGAACACAGCAATGGCTTGGAAGTCAAGACGTCTCAGCTCTAGTCCTCCCTCTGCCAATAATTAGTGGAGTGACAATAGACAGAGTTATTCACATGTGTGTGCCCCAGTTACTAATCTGTAAAATCAGTAAAATTAGTAGGTACTTCATAGGTAAAGTCACCTATCTTAGTGGTAGGTTCTTAAAAGATGGTGGGTAAAGGTAGAGGGTTAAATCAAATCATCTGTTCAGGCTCTTAAGTTTGTTAACATCCACTACCTCATTCGTTAAACTTAAAAATATGTATGTCTCCTTGTTGTGAGTAAAGATTTTGAAAAATGATTAAATATTATTTCTTAAAGAAAATCAAAGCAATTGTATTTTAGAGTATGTTGTTCAGTGTGTTAGAGTATGTTGTTGTTCAGAACCCTTTGAGGTTCTGACATGCATTTAGAGTCTTCCTCTCCTTGCCAGTCAACACCAACCACTGGAATATCTGTCTAAATGTAACTAACTTCCAGTTTTAATAGTTTACTCCTTTGGGATAAAGACCCAGTGTGTCAAAAGTCATTGTGGACCAGGTTACTGTCAGGGTATTTGGGATCAGCCATGACCAAAATTCTAGTTCATTTTTCCTTTTCCAAAGGAGAACATATTTGTGTCTGGATTTAAAACCAATCTTCTTTTGGGCACCTGGGTGGCTCAGTTGGTTGGGCGACTGCCTTCGGCTCAGGTCATGATCCTGGAGTCCCGGGATCGAGTCCCGCATCGGGCTCCCTG